ACTCTTGCAGAATGGAGATGAGCATGCGGAGAATACCTATACGGATATGTATATAAAGATCTTATACTAAGGTCCTTGTGCTGATTTCCCTTCATGGCTGGAAAGATTCAGAAACAAATGGCTTAAGTCAGTGAATTCAAGAGAACACATATGTAGATCTCACCCATATGTGGTGCCAAAAAAGACGAAACTCAAGTAAGAAAACCGCAGAATGTTTACAATTCTCGTCACCACGAGTACAGGGAGAGCCAAGCACACAGTTGGAGCTTAAGCAAATGGGGCAAAGGGCCTCGCGGAGACGGGGCTGAGCAGGTACCTCGCTGCCGTTCCCTGGCAAGCAGCCCACAAGGCTGAATGTCATCCTGAGAAAGGTCCACGCGATGAAGCCGATCACTCTGGGGGCGCAGGACCTATGCTTTCATTAGCTCTCCGTAACGGACAAGTCAGGGAGAATTTCAGAGGGGCTTATGTGGAACATAAAGGAAGAGAGGGAACAGAAAATTCTGAGTTACGTTTCGAAGCATTATCTCGGGCTTGTGCACTGGGTAGGTTGGTACAAGGCACTGCAACCCTATATGTTATTTCCCACTGTCTCAACACCGTTGGATGCAGGTAACGAAATGTCACGCGGGATCTTTTGTTGCCTCCACTGTCCTGTTAGAAGTAACAGAGGAGGCAGCACAGGTGAATCAAGCCAAAGCTTTTTACCTGGAAGTATTATTTCGGGAAAGCCCATTTTTCGGGCGATCGCAGTTGATCTATCCACCAGATGTGAAAAATTCTTCTGAACCTGGGTGAGGTCACCTGGCAACAGCTTCAAAGATATCCAAAGCCCTTTAAAGAAATAAAGCATAAACTCCGGTGCTCTTTATGATCTGTACCATAAACCCACATAGAAAGGCTGAGAAAAATACATGTGTCGTAGTAATATACAGATACTTTCTTAGAAAAATGTAAATTCTCCCCCAGGTAACTTATAATTTTAATGACACTCCCATCAAAATCACGTGACTTCCTCGAGAATTTGACAGAGGTGTGAACAGATGTTTACTCTGGGGGAAGGAGCACAAGTTAAGATATCCCCAATCAGATACCAAAATACAGATAGAGCTGTAGTAAAGTGTGGTATTAATGGCAGAAAAGGTATTTAAATCACTAGAAACAATTAGATTAACTACTAAAATATACAGTATATATATATATATATATACATAGTAGATAGTAGTTGTATATATAGTAGATGCATATATAGTAAAGATGCACAAAAATCCTGAAAAAAAGAAGCAACAATTTTATAAATATGCTGGAATAATTTTCTACTTAAAAGAGAATCAAACAAATCTGCCACCTCCCATTTTCATTAAACTAAATTCCTAATATACTAAGGAAGTAAAATGAACCTCTTTTCTAAGAGTAGAGACAAATGAAGAAATCATACAGAACAAAACTATCTATATA